CACTTCCCAGAGACGAGCCTATGAACTCCACTTCATCAACCTCCTGGACACTAAAAATCATGGACTAAATATAGACATTGGATTTATGACACATTATAACCTGCCTGACATCTGACTCCCCAGGTTTCTCTCCACTTTCATCCCCCTTCTCTCTCTCCCCACTCCTCCCCAGCCTCTCTCTCACCCATTGACTCCCCAATCTACATTTTCACTGACTACCTGTCTTGTATGCATACCAGCCCAGCCACTGGCTTCTTTACTTTTCATTCCACCCAGGAAGAGCACACACCAACTGCTGAAACTTCCTTCACCTGACGAAAGGTTTTTGAACCTGAAAGCTTGCTTAATAATTATTTTCCAACTCTTTGGGTTGGTCTAATAAAAGATATCAGATTCACCCAAGGAACCTTGTCTGCCTATGTCCTTAGACCAACACGGCTACAACCTACATGCTTGGTACAGTCAAGGTATATCACGTCCACTGCTATTCTCACATCCACAGAGCCAGTCATCTCATCATACAAGACAGTCAGAATGGTTAGACATGACTTTCCCTTGACTTCATACTAACACAGCTAACCGCATCTCTCTACTATAGGTAATAGCAACCAACTTCCCTTTTGAATGTTTTCATTCTTTTACACTATTAGATTATATAGTTTGACTGTCCATCACTTTTTTTGCATATTCTTCTTTTCACTTATTTTATTGAATGTTTTTACAATCTTCTTCCACTTCTTTAAATAGTATTTCATTTACATTATAGAGTTAAACATGTCAGTGTTTTTTTTTTATATTCTATTTATCTTAAGCTCTTTCTGCTTCTCTCCAAAACTTGAGGAAGGGCCTTAAAATTTGTCTAAGATCTTTGCCAACTGCAACTATACAGTTTGTCCAAAAAGATATTATCCTTGTCACAAAATGTATTTTGCTTTTCCATTTAATGTAGTATAGAGGTGGTTAGCTTTATTAATCTGAAGTCAGACAGAGGGTAGTGCAAAGTGGCACTTAAGAGACTAACTAGTCCAGAATGCCATGAATGTTCATAGGCAACAATCCATTTGGTCGATGGACTATAAGGTGGATAGAAAACTGGCTGAGGCATCAGGCTCAGAGGGTAGTAATCAATGGTTCAATGTCTAGCTGGCAGCCAGTATCAAGTGGAGTGCCCCAGGGGTCAGTCCTGAGGCCAGTTTTGTTCAATGTCTTCTTCAATGACCTAGAAGATGTCATGGAGTTCACCCTCAGCAAATTTGCAGATGACACCAAGATGGGCGAAGTAGTAGATACACTGAAGGGTAGAGCTAGGATTCAGAGTAACCTAGAAAAATTGGAGGATTGAACCAAAAGAAATGTCATAAGGTTCAACATGGACAAGTGCAAAGTCCTGGACTTAGGATGGAACAATCCCATGCACCAGTACAGGTTGGGGTTGTCTGGCTCAACAGCAGGACTGCAGAAAAGGACCTCAGGGTTACAGTGGACAATAAGTTCAATATGAGCCAGCAGTGTTGCCAACAGTTGTTGCCAAGAAGGCTAACAGCATACTGGCTTACATTGGTAGGTGTGTTGCCAGCAGGTCAAGGGAAGTGATTATTCACCTCTATTCTGCACTGTTGAGGCCACATCTGGAGTACTGTGTTCAGTTTTGGGCATCGCAATACAGACAGGATGTGGACAAAAGAGTCCAGTGGAGGACAACAAAATGTTTTGGGGGCTGGGGCACATAACTTCTGAGAAGAGGGTGAGGCTAATTCAGTCTACATAAGAGTATACTGAGAGGGGATTTAATAGCAGTCTTCAACTACCTGCAGCGGGGTTCAAAAAAGGATGGAGCTAGCCTGTTCTCAATGGTGGTAGATGACAGAACCAGGAACAATGGTCTCAAGTTGAGCAAAGGGAAGTTTAAGTTAGATATTAGGAAGTATTTTCTCACTAGAAGGGTCATAAAACACTGGAACAGGTTACTCAGAGAGGTGATGGAATCTCTATCCTTGGAGGTTTT